TTTCCAAATGGTATGGAATTAAGTTCCCAGATGTGTGATGGATAAAGTCAGAAGTGGTGCTGTGAATAGTTCCAAAATCCTTCTCCATCGTTTTAACTGAGACTTTTGGTGTACATAAAAGTTCGCAAAATCTCGTTTCTTACTCTACGTGGTCGGATTTTGCCATTGATCATGAAGTTCTGGCCTCAGTTGTGTGGATTCCCAAGGGGGAAATCTGCCGGGCGGGTACAATTCGGAGCCCTGCGAAATATCCTAGCCACTCCTGCCCTAAATTCTGGTATTTTTAAAGCATACACAATTGGATTTGCTAAGGAGTTAGCGCCGAGTAACATGAACATCGTCAAAATGGGATAAAACCTTGACTGGGAAAGAAAAATAACGAATTCGACCTTGAGAAAATACCCCAAACTGTTGAGGACAAAAAATGGCAACCAAGACAGCATCGATGCAAATGTGACCCAAATTAAAGTAATAGTCAATTTTTTTTCTCTGTTGGATGCTCCATGGTGTTGAGGAGTAGGACTAAATCGGACTTTGATGAAAATAAAGATGTAGGAAAGAAAAATGATCAAAAGAAATATCGCGTTATATATTATCGAAAGCATAAAACTAATGCTGGAATCTATGTGAGTGTATTCTATCAAAATCATAAGACCTCCATCACCTAATAAAGCCATAAGCCATATACTAGCAATTGTTACTCCATAAACCCATTTCTTAATAAAACGGTGTTTGAATGGGAAAAATGTTGCATGTACTCGTTCTAAGGAAATAACAGCGAGATTAACAAGGGAGGTTAAGGGGAAAAAGGTCCTTGCAAAGTGTGGGATAGGATCTTATAGGTGTGCACGGTGATCCCATCGAAAACAAGTTTCGGAAAATTGTAATATAAAGAAAGTAACAGAAACTCCCCCAGCCAAGAGGTCAACTATCGCCAAATGGATGATCAGGTACGTGCTCCGGCGCTATAGCTGGTGCTGCTTCACAAATACGATGATCGTGATGATATTCAGGATGACGATCGCCAGACATTCTGAGGTAAGAACCATTAGCAGCGATATGCGCTCTGATGCAGAAAGGGTGAAAAAGTTCATCTCGTCGATGCTGTATGGTACAAGCTAAGTGGTGTTGGTGAAAAATGATCTTAGGATTTTCAATTACCTCATAATTTTGTGCAAGTATATCAAAAGCTCACTATCTCAAATTAATCTCCCTTTTTTCAAAGCAATCGATAATTTTAGAAACATTGCAACCATTTATCACTTTGGAACTAGCCATGCAGAACTTTGGTAAAAGGATGCAATAATACCGGTACAAAAGAATATATATATATCTTATTAACCAAGCGCGAGGGCCGTACTGGGAGAATATCGGCCCGAGGTCTTGACAGTACGGACCGAGCGCAGCGAGGTCCGTACAAAAAAGACCGAGGGCTGATATTCTTACAGTACTGTCCCGACCAAGCTTGGTTAATAAGAGATTTATTATACGACTGAAGTTCAAAGGGACACAAGTGCGGTATCCTGATTCGGGACCATTCGGGAGAGTGCCCGGTCCAATACTTAGAGAATATTGGACCGGCAATACAGCAATTTGATTGGTTGATTTTAGTCATTGGCCCTCTGACTGGCCGAGTCGTGTAATAATGTGTTTTAATTATGATTTTCCTACCTTTTTTTAGCAGAGAAAGAAACAAGTGGGACATTTTCAAAGCTTTGTTTCAGAAGAAAAATGCGTTGTCGAGAAAAATATTTCAAACTTTTGGGAAAGCTTTCAGGAATCGAAATACGCCCTCTATGAGAAACTGAACTTGATAATTTTCTTGCATTATCGATTTTTCTGCCTATCTTTGTTTATTTTCTTTGTTTCAGCAACAGAACACGCAGTATGAAAAGTCAGTACAAAAAAAAAAACAAAAAAACAACTTATCTACCCTTCTATGGCGGCGTCAGTAGATCACAGGTACCGTCTCAATGCTATCTTTGACTGGAGGACTTTGGCTGCTGTGCTTTAGTTCTCTTTCAAACAATTTCTTTTGCCTTTTTTTTAGACTATTGATGAAGTTAGCTTTCGATTTTTGTTCGTCTAATTAAACATTTCCGAATGGTATGTAAGACAACTCGTTGGATGAAATCTTAAACATGGAGCTCTTGCTAATCTTGTGATTCTTCCAAAGAGAAATTAAAATGTAAGACTTATGACAACTATTTAATTACATGGCGGAAACGAAAGAGCAAATAAAGCAAACGACGAAAACAATTAACTTTTATAGCGGTCTTACAAACGAAGTAGATGTGAGCAGCATCCGGCTCAGTAATGTATGGTCAATTAAGTTATTGACAAAACCCTCTCAGCAAAATCCCAACTTGTGTTTGTAGATAGCTTTCAGACTAAGATTTGTTGAAATGTAGAGTTAAATTTTCACTTAACAAAAATGAGACATTTTCTATGGGGTTAATGCAAAATTGAAATAGGCAGGTAGTTTTTAGCCTCAATCGTCAATGATAACCCCCAGAGTAAGGGGAGTTTTCATCATCGACGATTGAGGCTGAGAACCACCTGCCTATTTCAGATTTGCATCAAACCATAGAAAATGATTCAGTTTTTGTTAATTTAACATTTAGCGCTACATTTCTTCAAAATCTCTGGCTGAAAGGTATCTACAAACACAAGTTGTAGTCATAACCATTCCTAGAACTTCTTGTATTTACTTTTTACCTAAAATTCACAAACCTAACAACCCGGGTTGGCCCATTGTCTCGGCTTGCAGTTGCCCTACCGAACTTATCTCCGGCTATCTAGACAAAATTATGGCTCTCATCGTCAAAACTTTACCATCATATATTAAAGACAACCAACACGCTCTTCAAATTTTTCGCGACTTTAATTTCCTTGACCAAAACAAACTTCTTTTCACCATGGATATTACGTATCTTAACACTGTCATTCCTAATGGCGAAGGCCTTCTGGCCCTTAGACACTTTTTTGATCAACGTACTGTTAAAGAGCCTAAATCTGAAACACTACTACGCTTAGCCGAACTAGTGCTCACACTCAATTGTTTTTCATTCGGGGACAACTTCTTCAAACAAACCAATGGTGTAGCCATGGGCACCAAAATGGGACCTAGCTATGCCAATCTTTTTGTAGATTTTGTCGAACACCAATTTTTCAGCCAATACAACGGCTCCAAACCTGAACTCTACGGTCGCTACATCGACGACTGTATCGGCGCTACCTCCTCTACCAGAGAGGAGCTGGTA